ATAAACCTATATATAGTTGCTGATTTTTTATAATAAAGTGTGAGTGTATCAGTTATATGCATCTTTGGATATTAAAAGGTGAATTCAGAAGAAATCACAATATAACATTTGTTCACTGGCCAACGGACAAGCAAACAAGGCTTACAAGGACGACGATTGTCGCGAAAACTGCCAAGCAAAATCGGGCGATTAGTGTTGAATGAGAAGGTGGTACCAAATCCACCAACATCTCCACGACCGAACATGTGCAGACAGCACCGATTAGTCGATCGACTCAGACAACGAAACAACGGAACTTGCAGATTGAGGCTGCGTCAACCATCCAATCAGTCGCCCCCAGCGGCGCGCCTGCAGCTCTCCTGGTAGGTGACTCGATTGTGGCGTGCGCCAGAGATCTGTTTAGTTGCAAGTCGTCCCGACGCCTGAAGATCGACGCTGTCGGCGGACGCAAGTTGTCTAGTTTGAAGAGAATGCTGCTGGAGAAGGCAATTGATGTCGCAAGATTTGGCCGAATTATTATCTGTCTCGGCACCAATGATTTACTTGAACGATCGGCAATGGCTATGATAGCCATTGTCGAAGAGATAGTTATTTTATTACGTGGTGCAAACACAATGATTGATATTTTATTTTGTGAAATTGGGCCGAGACGTTTTTGCGGTAACCATAAATTTCCGCCAGATGATGATCATACGCTCGAGAGGATTCTGGCATACAATAGTTTGCTGGCTAACGTTTATGGTTGTGGTGTAGTCAAGTTGAGCTACACATTATCAGACTCTATCGATGGTCTTCATCCTGGGCCGATTGGTTTGTCAACGGTTGTGCGCATTTTGAAAGCTTATTTTGATTGACTTTCTATTTATTTATTATTTTTTTTAATGTGAATATGTAAACATCTCTCTCTGTGGAAAATATCTCTATAAATACATCCCTCTCTCGCAGCTGATAATTAGCATGAGACTGAATAAAGATAGAATAGAAAGAGAATGTACTCAAAGAGAAAAGTGATTGTTTACACTTTTAAGAGAAGAATCTTCATCAAATTTTCTGACTCTGTGTAATTTCCCATTAACAACTTTATGGATTTTTGCAAGATTTTCTAGTTTTCCACATAGAATGCCGTGATCAGGACGAATATCATCTTGAATAAATGAAATAAGAGCACTATATTCCTTATCTTGGCGTTGAGCCAATTTTATATCATCTAAAACATTACAATGCTTCCAGATATTAACTGCAACTTCTTGACTTTCTTGTAGAGCACCGATAAAGATGCCATTTGTTTGTAGCGCTGCTACTACCTCAGATTTTAAAGGATATCTAGAAAGAGTATCTGCATTGGCATTAGATTTGCCAGGACGATGTTTAATAATCATGTCATATGCATCTAATTTCATAGCCCATCTAGCTAGACGACTTGTAGGATCTTTTATGTTTCTTAACCATGGCAAAGATCTATATGATCTGTCCAGACTTCAAATGGACGACCCTCTAAATATGATCGAAAATGTTGGGCATCCCAAACACTGTCTAAACACTCACGTTCAGACGCTGAGTATTTCCTTTCGCATGATTGCAAAGTTCTGCTTGCGTAGGCGATGACATGTTCAATTCCATCAATATTCTGAGCTGGCACAGCACCTAAACCATAGTCGCAAGCATCTAACTGTAATAAAAAAGGATAATCAAAATTTGGATAAGCAACTATTGGTGCAGAAATGAGACGTTGTTTCAATAGCTCAAACGCTTGTTGACATTCTGGTGTGAACGCGAAAATTGGATTGTATTTTTCTCGAATAGAATTAGACAAAGATTCTGCAACTTCTGCATAATTTTTGATAAATCGCCTATAATAGCCGGTTAGTCCTAGGAAAGCGCGGGCATCTTTTGCCTTACCAGGGATAGGAAATGATCTTACAGCTTCTGACTTTTCTGGATCTGGTCTAATGCCTGCGCACTTACAATATGACCTAAATATTTAAGTTCTTGTCGAGCAAAGAAACATTTTGATGGTTTTAATGTTAAACCACTGATTTTAATGCGCTCTGGAACACTATGTATATCCTCAAGATGTTGTTCAAAAGTTGGCGAGTAAATTATTACATCATCCAAATACACTAAACAACAGTTCCGCTTTAAACCTCAAAGCACAAGATCCATGAGTCGCTGGAATGTTGCTGGCGCATTAGTGAGCCCAAACGGCTCACATTAAACTGAAAAATACCTTCATGTGTTACAAAAGCTGTTTTTTCTTTACTCTCTTCATCTAGCTCAACCTGCCAAAATCCTGACGAGAGGTCTATGGTGCTGAAATATTTTGCACCATTTAGCACATCTAGTGTATCATCAATTCTTGGAATTGGATACGTATCCTTCACGGTGATTTCGTTCACTTTACGAAAATCAACACAAAAACGAAGAGTGCTGTCCTTTTTGGGAACAAGAGTCACGGGACTCACCCACGGACCAAAGCTCGGCTCACAGATGCCAGCCTCGAACATTTCAGCTGTTTGTTTAACGCATGCTGTCTTTTTTTCAGGGTTCAATAATCTGTATGGACCCTGTTTGATTGGCTTTGAATTACCAACATCAATATGATGTTGGACTACATTAGTACGACCTGGTTGTGAAGAGAAAATATCTGAATACTGATGTAACACATGCCTTAACTGTTTTTCTCGCTCTACAGAACGATCGGATGATGTTAAATCAAGTTTTGAAAACCACTCATCTTAATTATCTATTTTATTAACTGTCCTAGCGGTTGATTCTAACTTATTGGTGAGTTTTAAAACCGAAGACTGAAAATTGTCTGATTTCGAATCTGTGAAACTTGTCGTCTGTGCTAAAGAATGTATGAACACATTCATAGAAGATCCTAGCCTTACATCTACACTATGATCCTTAACAATGGAAAAAGCAGAAAGCGAAAATAACGAACCAAAATCAGACTCTATGACATCGGTATCAGATGGACTTTCGCTTTTTAAATTTTTAAGAGATGGATATGGCGAAACTTGTTCGACGTTGCTAATTTGATCTGAATTAAATCCTTCTTTTACTTCGGGCTTCGATGATTCCCCTGAATTGTTTGTAGATGTATCAACGTCTCCTTCGAATGTATATCACTGCAAATTATATCAATGCAAATTGTTAATAATAAATCTATAGAATTGGCATTTTGCATATTTAGGCACGATCGTAATGCCATGTTGAAAAACCCGTTTGACTCTAACATGCTCACTCATTTCAAGTAAAAAATTTCCTGAGTACCGTAACACACTCATATGTTATTCCATACTTTTTAACGATAGGATCTAATTCATCAATTATTAATTTATCATTTAATACACGATGTATTAACCATGACATTAACGAATGTACTGTTGTGATTCCATTTTTGACATCCAACAGGAGAACTAACTCTTCATATACATAACTATAAAGTTCATGCAATTTTTTGTCATCAGAATCGGTTAACAATAAATTCAACAATCCATGAGCCGATTTCTTGTACAACCGATTTAATCTGAAAAATACTGCGCCTATCAAAAATAAAATTTCCATTTCTTCACTGTTTTCAACCAGAGCAAATGATTTCGTTCTTTTTTCGGCAGTTCAGTCAATAGTCATTTCAAATAATACAGCCTCATTTATTGTACGACCTTCATCAGCAAATACGATAGCAAGCTCTCTATTCAAAAAACTATTGAACGAAATATGTTTACCAATACTTTTGCTTAATATTTGTAATTCATTTATATGCAAATTTTGACCACGATAAACTCTGATGGCTAGTGGTAAACCGTCGATTAATTTCGAATATAAAAATTCGATTTGATTTTCAAGATCAGTAATAAATAAACGAAGTTTATAAACCATGTCAAAATTTTCTGTTCGAAATGCTTTATTTGATAAGCGATATAAAAATGAATCTTGTGTATACCATTTTATTGCTTCGTTTGACGCGTAATTGTCATTGAAATTAGTTATTTTATTTTGTTCAACAATGATATTGCTATAAAACAACCTATATTCTTTAATTAAATCTTCTTTTGATATATTATATCCGTACGAGCGTTTCATAGCATAAGCAAGGAATTGAAACCACATGAAACTATCTTGTTCGATTTCCAGATCTTTAATCGATTTTTCATTTTCTTCGCTGCTACTGATCAATGTGATTGGGATGATATTTTTTCGTATATTATTCAATATCTTTTCGTAAGTGTGGAAGAAAATGGTGTAAATCCTTAAATATGCCACCAAGTTTAGAACTGTGTATTTTGTGTTGCAACATTCATATTCAAACGAAAAATATAAACTACTACCAGTTGACTAATTTCATCAGTTAATGACATGACAGTTTTAGCCATCAAATCGGATACGAATGAAACTATTTTTCCTGTTCGAATATGAGTTATATATTCAATGCATCGATTATAATTATAAAATATTTTCACAAAATTAACTATATGTCGTAATTGAGTTGCAATATTTGAATGGTCATCGCTGTCGAAGTATCATCAAGCCAAACTAAGGTCAAATTTTTCAAATTTTTTTCCTGATCATCATCGTTGTCGAAACATAAATTATGTGTAATTTGAGGTATGTAGGAGAATAGCATTTGACAAGAAAGAATATCGCCAATATTTGAAGTTTGGACGTGCTAAAACACAAAAAATGTTTTTAAGAGATAGTCTGCAATACGACCGATCATAATAACGGACATTACATGGGGCAAAATTTTAGAATATTGAGTTTCATATCTAAAACGGACACTTGAAGCGTTGACGTACTAAAGTCAGAATATTAGGAAGCGAATAACTATCACAAAATATTAGCTTTTTCTGGGTTCACTACAACCCCTCCCCCCCATAATAGAAGCCTCCGGAGCTTCTAAACTGTCCAAGTGTTCAAAATTTTTAGCGGGGGCTTGTATTATGAAGGGGCTACTATTACCACTTTCGTACAAAAATTTTCAGAAAAAAAAGGAGATTTTGAATTTCGATGCTCTTGCCTTTCTAATCACGGTAAGCTCAAATAATCTGAAAAAAATCTTTTTCGAGATAAAAAATGTAAATTTTATTCGTTTCCTTTTTTACACACGACATCACACAAGAACAATTAAAGTAA